GATGTTGATTGTTTGGACCTGGGTTAGTAGCAATGTCACCAGCAAGTACGATCACCAAAAGCAGATGTATGTTCTTAAACTGTAATCCGTAGCGGTGGGTGGTGGGCGAAGTAGATTTTCTTAAAATGTTATCGCGCGTTGAAACCCATAAGTTGCTCAGTCGTTCTGGTGTTGATGTTAGTTCGGAGGAGATCGGATAACGTTCAGGAGTTATTTTGATGTTGACAGGAACATAGACCGGTTTGGATCTAATTGACAGCCAAAAGATTACTGCAAAACACACACACCAATGGCAAATCTTTAGCAATTTTTCTTTCCTCATTTTCGTATAAATCATGTCCAATTGTCTGAGTAGTTCCGTAATTGCTTTAATTAGTGAACAATAGTTACGCGCGAAATTGTTTTCTATAGATCTAATCGCTTTTCGTTTATGATTAATTAAGTTCTGTGCCCAAGGGCTAATAGCGCGTATTATCTAGTATCGAATTTCAAACTAACAGTCCTCACCGCCAGAAACTTTGTCCTCACCGCCAGGAACCTTGTCCTCACCGTCGGCAACCTTGTCCTCACCGTCAGCAACCTTGTCCTCACCGTCAGGAACCTTGTCCTCACCGTCAGGAACCTTGTCCTCACCGTCAGGATCCTTGTCCTCACCGTCAGCAACCTTGTCCTCACCGTCAGGATTCTTCTCCTCACCGTCAGCAACTTTGTCCTCACCGTCAGGAACCTTGTCCTCACCGTCAGGAACCTTGTCCTCACCGTTAGCAACCTTGTCCTCACCCTACCTGAAAATACCCATTCCCACACTCTATGACACAAAAAACAGCAAAATATTAAGGCTATGGCCTTAACTTTTCGTCCATTTTTAGCCACTTATGTCATTTTTCATAAGTGGGCCAAAAACAGCAAAAAAGTAAGGCTATAGCCTTAACTTTTCGTCCATTTTTAGCCACTTATGTCATTTTTCATAAGTGGGCCAAAAACAACAAAAAAGTAAGGCTATATAGCCTTAACTTGTCGTCCATTTTTAGCCACTTATGTCATTTTTCATAAGTGGGCCAAAAACAGCAAAAAAGTAAGGCTATAGCCTTAACTTTTCGTCCATTTTTAGCCACTTATGTCATTTTTCATAAGTGGGCAAAAAACAGCAAAAAAGTAAGGCTATAGCGGCTAACGCGGTTCTGAAATCAATGAGAATCATGAATGGAATATTTACCTTAAAATTAGAATAAAAATCGTTTTATTATACAGGGTGTATGAAAACTGAAACTGAACAGATTTAAAATTGCTCTCAATTTCGCAAAACAGCTATTTGTATCCGGTTTTTTATATATATAGCTTCTTTGGGTACTTATAATGTAAAATAATGAAAAAAATTTCTCGAACTCAAATTCTGTGAACCAGGGGGGTGTGTCTTTCCCAACAAACTAAAAATGGCTCGCGCACAAAATTTAAAAGCTGTAATCATATTTTGAGTTAATAGATGGAAAATTTGTCGGGTTTTTAATTACTGTACAAAATTTCAGACAATTTGGTTTAGTTTAAGCCTTTAACTATTCATTTTGTTCTAAAAAGTCAGCCTTTCGCATGCTTAATTAATGCCTTTACCTAATTTGCATATTGCTGACATATGCAAATTAGGCAAATGCATTAATTAAGCATGCAAATAGCTGATTTTTAGGAAAAATGTAATCGGCCGTGTCCATTTTGCCATATGACATGTTCTTGGAAAGATTTCGCGACAAGAAGTTAGAGAAAACAACCACCGTACTAAAGACCTATACTGGTGAACTGATCGTTCCAGTTGGTTGCCTTACCATGCAAGTTGAATACTTAGATCAATCATGTCTATTGCCACTCCATGTAGTCCAGACTAAGGGTCCACTGTTAAATGGGTCGAGATTGGCTTCACAAGCTTTGCCTCGACTGGAAAACCATCAAGTTGTTGAAATCCTCAGATCCCAGCCATAGAAACCCTGGCACGACTACACAAGAGAAGCTGAAAAACCTATTGGATACGTATGCAGAGGTTTTTGAAGACAAGCTGGGAACTTTCAAATCTGCCAAAGCAAGGATAACCCTCAAAGAAGGTAGTCAACCACAGTTTCGCAAAGCTCGTCATGTCCCATATTCCTTACGACCGAAAGTGGAGGAAGAACTGAAGAGACTTCAGAGCGAAGGTATTTTGTCGAAAGTAGAGTGGAGTGATTGGGCGACACCGATTGTACCAGTGCCGAAACAAGATGGTTCAGTCCGTATTTGTGGGGACTTCAAAGGTACTATTAACCCAACATTACAAGCAGAACAGTATCCTCTGCCTCGAATCGAAGATATTTTTGCCCATTTAGCTGGTGGGAAAAAGTTTTCCAACATTGACCTCCGCCAAGCTTACCATCAGATTGAGTTGGAGGAAGAATCCAAGAAGTACCTTACAATTAATACGTCCATGGGCTTGTTTCAATACACTCGATTGGTGTTTGGTATTACCTCGGCTCCCAACATTTGGCAGCGTACCATGGATCAGATTCTGGAAGGAACTTCTGGTATTAGTTGTATATATCCTAGATGATATGATTGTGACGGGTAAAAGCGACGCAGAGCATATGGCTAACCTGGAGGAGGTCCTTCGACGGCTGCACCACCATGGGTTAAGGGCCAATAAATCGAAGTGTGAGTTCTTCAAAGAAAAGATCACGTTCTGTGGACACGACATTAATAGCGAAGGCCTGCACAAGACCACCCACAAGACAGCTGCAATGGTGAATGCCCCTCGCCCCCAGAGTGTTGCAGAGGTACGCTCCTTCCTGGGATTGGTGAATTATTACCACAAATTCCTGCCAAACCTTGCTACAATCCTGCATCCATTGAACCAAATGCTGGAAAGTAACTACCAATGGAACTGGACAGATCAATGCGAAGAAGCTTTTTGCAAAGTGAAAGCAATGATTGTTTCAGATCTGGTGCTTACACATTATGATACTAACCTTCCCTTACAACTGGCTTGTGATGCTTCGCCTGTAGGGATTGGAGCGGTACTGTCTCATGTC